TGTGTGTGTGTTTGTGTGTATGTGTGTTTGTATGGTTGTGTGTTTGTGTGTGTGTGTTTGTTCGTTGTGTGATTGTGTGCTTGTGTGCTTGCATGTTTGTGTGTTTGCGTGTGTGCGTGCGTGCGTGCGTGCGCGTGCGCGCGCGGGTGCGTGCGCATTTCGAGTTTGGGCGCGAAGATAGTCTCGACTTGCACATCGGATCACACGTCGAGTTCGATGTCTGTTTGCACACCGCTATGCATGAAACGCAAATGGGCGGCGAGCGAAAGAGGAAGTGAGAAGGAGACGGCCTTCTCAAAGACGGCGGGACTTACGCAAAGCCTCTGCGCCTTCTGAAACGTTTTCTGTGTCTTCGGGGAAGGCTTAAAACACGAACCATGAGGCCGAAGGACTTCCGAGCTGTCTGACAAAAATGCCCGCCCTTTCTCACACACACCCAGGCTCGCCGCCGAGCAGAGGGACATACTAGAACTGCGTCCTCCTCGGAGGCGTGCGTGCGCCCAGACCATATAGTACAAACATGTTGTGGCACATCGTTTCCAGAGCGCACGGCGAGAAAGCGGCCGCCAACAAGCATTGACTAAAAGATTTCTCACCGCGCGCGTCGCCCCTGGGGTGCAAACGCACACGTAGTATGACTGTATTGTGAGTGATGCCAAATGTATTTCGATCTGAGCTTCAACCCGATGTGCCCTTCGAAAAACACTTGCATTTAGACGTGCAGTTCGGCTTGCATGTCCATTGCGACTGGATTTGTAGTTCGATTGGAGGTTGATGTGCAAGTCGATGTGCATGTGCTTTCGCACGTCAATGACCATACAATTGGATTTCCATGCGCGGTTCGCCTGCAACTGGATGTGCATGTTGCGTTTTCCCACGAGCAGGCACGGGACAACCCACGGGACAACCACGGGACAACCCTGTCTACGCCGTCCAGGAAGCCGTCTGGGGACGCGTCAGCCGTGGCTACATCTAGCAACGGACGCCCGCGCACGGGCGCTACCCTTCTCACGTGTGGACGTTTCGACGCCACGCTTGCAGGGGAACGAATCATGGATACTCACAATGGTTCCCTCCGTTCTACCGTCCAACAAGCCCGCTGGGGGTGCGGCAGCCGTGGTTGAATCTTCCAACGGGCGTCCATGTGAGGGGGCTGCCTTTTTTCACGTGTAGAATCGTCGCCGCACGCGTGTGGACGTTTCGTCGCCGCACGTGCCGCATCACAAATCTCCGAAACATACACACACACACACACACACACACACACACACACACACACACATTTTTCACCGCTTGCGCCGTCCAGAATCCGTCGGGGCGCGTCCGCCGTAGCTCCTTCTCCCGACGGGGACACGCGCGAGGACCCTGCCTCATCCGTCTCAGTGCGGTGTGGGCCCGCGCCACCACTCGGACGAAAATGCGCGAATTGCCTTTTTCGGTTGACTCCAGGGTCTGCTCAAGCAGGTCCCGATCTTCGATTTGACGGCAGCCCGCCCTCTGTGTTTCAACGCGCGCTTCCCTGACCGATGCGACTCGCAAGGTGGCGACGGGCGGCCGACGGGCGAAAACCTGGAACACTCAACCTCTGCACGGGGCGGCGACGAGGCGGCAACGGGCGGCCACCGGGTGAAAACTCTGAACGCCCACCCAATGACTCTCAAGGGAAGCACGGGTCCGTTAATGCAAGTAATGTGTGCGGAATGCGCCACCGCGCCTGCGCGGAGTGGTCGCGTTAGAAGCTGGGCTGGCAAGGGAACGGAACGAGCGCGTCTAAGGAGCGGACGTTTGAGCATCTCCACAGGGGTTTGGCGGCCGTTTACGCGGCAGCGGTTTTGACATAGGGATCAGCATGCATAAGTGTTGGAGCAAACTGGAGGGCGAGGCGGGTTAAGGCGGCCACCGTAAAGAGGATAACGAAAGAGGACAGAGGGGGAAGAGGAGAGAAAAAGACTGAAAGAGTGCATTTGCAAAGGATACAATGACGGGGTGAATCAAAGTGGAAGGGACACTTCACATAACATAACATATAGCCGGCGGGCGTACTCAGTGCCGGAGGCCAAGAGCAGGGGACATTGGAAGACGCGGGTGGGGGAGTGAGGTAGCCGGCAAGTGAGAGAGATGATTGGGACGACTTGGAGAGGAGAAGGCCAACAGAGAAGATCCTAGCTTTTTTGTACCACCGTTCGCTCCTGAAGTTGTGTCAAAGGTCTTGGGGGGCCTCTTGAGAGGCTCTGGGAGGCATCTTGGAGGCCTCTTGGAATCCTCTTGGGACTCCAGGCGTCCGTTTTCGGGCCCTCTTGGCACGTTTTGGGGCCCTCTTGAGCCGTCACGGGGCCCTCCTGGACCGTCTTGAGGGGCTTGGGCCGGCCGGCTTGGGGCGCTCTTGGGGCCCCCTTGGGAACCTCCTGTGGCCTCCGTGGGGCTCTCCTGGGAGCCGCTTGGGGCTCTGTGGGGCCCTCCTTGTGCTGTCTTGAGGCTCTCCTGGGCCATCTTGAAGCGCCCTTGGGACGTTTGGGCCTCTCTTGGGACCTCTTGGGCCTCTTTCTGGGCCGTCTTGCAGCTATGTTGAGCCGTCTTGGGGGTATCTTCGGCCATCTTGGAGTCCTTTTGGCTCGTCGTGAGACCTCCTGGGCCGAAAAAGCCGCCAACATGGCCCCCGGAGGGCGTGTTAGAAAAGTCGGTGCGGTCCAACGCCCCCCCCGGACCCCCCCATTGGGGCTCCAGCCCTGTGCAGAACTTCTCTCGCTAGCGCTCTTTCCGTCATGCTCGTCTGTTGCCTGGGAGGTTTTTTTGCGTGTTCTATGGCGTCCCCCCCTCGCCCCGCGCGTCGATAAAAATTTCCCCCTGCGCTCTTGGCTGCCTCTGAACTGCCAACATGGCGCCACAGGCGACTGCCAAGACAACCAACACGACATCTAAGCCGCTCAATATGGCCCAGGAGAGATCAAGAGACTCCAAAGACGGCCTCAAGACAGCCCAAGGGGTATCCAAGACAGCCAAAGAGGGCTCCACGAGACCCTCCAGGAGAGCCCGAGGAGGCAAACATCAGAAATCCCCCTCAGGTGTTCGAAGGATGTTGAGGTTCTCGCCTGTTTGAGTTCGCGACCGCCCAAGATAGCAAGATGGCCCATGAGGACCCCAAAGAGGACACCATGTCGGCCAAAGAGGACCCCTAGATCGGCCAACAGCCTCCTAAGACGGCCGCAAGACGGCCCTGAAGAGCTTCAGTAGGGCGCCGAAAAGGCCCAGAGAGGCCCCCAAGACGGCCTCCGAATGCGTCAGACAGGCCAAGAGCCCCATAAGACTGCCCAAAAGGGCCCAAGAGCCACCCAAGAGGCGCCAAGAGGACCCAAAGAGGCCCCCCAGATAGCCCCAGGAGGCTCCCAGGAGGCCACAAAACAGCGCCCTAAGAGGCCTGCAACTCCTTGCCTTCATGTTGTCCTCCTCCTCCTCCTCGTCCACCTCCGTCTCCTCTTCCTCCTCCACCTCATCCTCCTCATCATCATAATCCTCATCATCATCCTCATCCTCATCTTCGTCCTCATGCGCAAATTAATCCGCATATCTATATATATATATATACATACACACCCTCATCATTATCCGCATCATCATCCTCCTCATCATCGTCATCATCATACTCAGCATCATCATCATCATCATCAGCAGCATCATCATCGTCATCAACAACAGCAGCATCGGCATCACCATCATACTCATAATCATCAACATCGTCATCATCATGATCATCGTCAGCATGATCATCACCATATTAGCAGATTCAGCATCAGCGTCAGCATCACCACCAGCATCATCATCATCATCAGCACCATCATCCTATGCATAATCATCGTCCTCATCGGTATTAATATGCTCAGCATCATAAGCATCGCCGTCAGCATCATCAGCATCAGCTTAATCATGATCGTCAGCAACATCATCAGCAACATCATCATCAGCATCATCACCAACATCATCGTCATCATCATCACCATCGTCATCATCACCATCAGTATCATCATCATCATCAGCAGCATCATCATCCACATCATCATCATCATCATCATCATCATCAGCATCGTCATCAGCATGAACATGAGCATCATCAGCATCAGCATCATCACCATCCGCATCAACATCAGCATCATCAGCATCAGCACCGTCGTCATCAGCATCATCAGCAGCATCTGTATCATCCACATCACTATCAGCAGCGACATCAGCCTCATCAGCATCAGCATCATGAGCAGCAGCAGCACCATCGAAATCATCATCAACAGCATCACCACCATCATAATCAGCATCATAGGCAGTAGCATGATCATTACCAACATCATGATCATCATCATCATCAGCATCATCAGCATCATCATCATCATCCGCATCAGCAGCATCAGCATCATCATCATCATCAGCAGCATCATCATCACCAGCACCAGCACCAGCATCAGCATCAGCATCAGCATCAGCATCATCATCATCATCATCTTCATCATCATCATCATCATCATCATCATCATCATCATTATCATCATCAGCAGCAGCAGCAGCAACATCATCATCAGTATCATCAGCATCCGCCGCCTCATCCTCCTCTTCCTGCTCCTCCCTAGGGGACAAAAGAAAATAAGGTGCACAACCCGCCTCAGTTCAGACCGCCCGCGAACTGCACCGGGGCGTGAATTCGATCCCCCCCCGTCCTTACCTTGCGGACAAAGACGAGGTCGAGGTCACAACCCGTCCCAGTTCAGAACAGCCGTCGGATTGTCGCTGTTCCTACACTCTGTCTCCGTGTCTGCTGCGCTGTTTCACAAGCAGGGTGGCTGGGTTTGCCGCGGGCAACGGGATTGGCACATATGGGAAGAGAGACACGAAAGTATAGGTTCAGGATTCCAGATCGGAGGATTCAGGCGAGGATTGCAACGCGGGATAGTCACAACAGGGTAGACTAGGCCGCAGGCGCGCATTCGATCCCACTGGCGCTGGGCCCTACGGCCGGCCTCCATGGGCTGACCTATCGACGCGAGGAAGGCGTTCAGCTTGTCCTTCGCTGAGCTAGCACGCTTCCCGTTCCTCCTAACTCATCCACCTCCTCCTCCTCCTCCACCTCCTCCTCCTCATTCTCGTCCTCATCATCCTCATCCTCCTCCTCAACGTCCTCCTCATCCTCATAATCATCATCATCATCATCGTCATCATCACCATCATCATAATTACCATCATCATCATCATCATCGTCGTCGTCGTCGTCGTCATCATCGTCATCATCAGCAACAGCATCATCATCACCACCGTCATCATCACCATCAGTATCGTGATTATCATCAGCAGCAGCATCATCATCAACATCACCATCACCATCCGCATCATCGTCATCATCCATCTCCTCATCATCACCATCGTCGTCGTCTTCGTCATCATCCTCATCATCATAATCATCATCATCGTCACCGTCGTCATCGTCATCACCAACAGCATCATGATTATCAGTATCATCATCATCAGCAGCAGCATCATCATCATCATCATCATCATCATCAGCATCAACATCACCGTCATCAGCAATATCAGAACCATGAACACCGCCAGCATCGTCATCGTAACTGTCATCACCATCATCATCATCACCATCAGCAACATCAGCATCATCATCGTCAGCATCAGTATCATCATCACCATCATCAGTCAGCATCATCATCATCAGCAGCATCATCGCAAGCATCATCAGCAGCAGCAGCAGCCTCCTCCTCCTCCGCGTCGTCGTCCTCGTCCTCGTACTCCTCCTCCTCCTACTATTCCTCCTCCTC